GTGATCTGAGGTTTTGTTTGCTGAATATGTGTTTTGTATTTGATTTCTTATAACCTGATGAACTCTTTATATTTGCCATAAATTATGTCCCAAATCCCTATTTTTGGTTTCTAGTTGGTTTCCTAATATATTTTTGCAGTTTGCTTCAATATATTTTTGCTATATATGCTCATTTTCTTTAATAGGCAGTTTTGAAAAAATAATTCCAGTTCACTTGTAAAATTTAGAAGAGTCACTAGAAAAGGTTGTATTGATATTCAAGTTGAACATTATTTCTCTCCATCCCTATAAACAAAATGGACATTATTAGGTTCAGTAGTCCAAATAAAATTTAGTACTTCCGTTAAAATCCTTGCTATCTTTGCATAGATTCCTAGAAACAACTCTGTAGAAGTGGTTTTATTTGACAGGATCTTGAATCTTCTCAGTGAATTCATCTGGAAAGTATTATATATTGCGTAGGAATCATGCCTTTCAGTACATGTAGGTTGTCTAGAGATTCCTTGCTGTAGCTGTTATTTTTTGAGTAAAGGTTGTTTCCCCTATCCAGTGCAGTCCAACTCTAGGGGGGTGGGGGATGCTGATAGCTGTTTCTTAGCCAAGGGAGCCATCATTGTCCAAAGGCATCTCTGTCATGTGGTCAGCATAACTATATACTAAAGCCAATGGAATGTTGTTACCTTCCCACCAAACTGGTACCTATTTATCTACTCATATTTGCATGCTTTCGAACTGCTAGGTGGGCATTTTTTAAATTAATATTGGTTTAATTTTTCTGAACCCCTTTCGCAAACACTCGTCCTTAAGGAATAGAAGTTATTTTAGTGTGTATCTTATAATTTTCTTATATGAATCTTAGGAAACAAACTGTTACTCTAATGGAATTTTTGGTTGCATACTGTATATTGCGTACTGTATATTGTGTTCCTAATGGGTTAAATTTCAAACTTTGTGTAACCAAGCAGTGAATTATGTTACATACATAGCTATCTAATGTAAAAGATAAAATGGTACGGTTTGAATATTAGCAGTTCCCCAAATGACAATATATTAACTGAGTTCATTGGCTAATTTGATTCAACATTTTGCATTTCATTTCATAGCATATTTATTTCTCATGGTCCAGTTATAGTACTTAGCATGAGGTATGGTCAAATACAAATCTTTCTGCTTCTTATAACTTGTTCCCTTTAAAAAAACACTTGATTATATTTTCTCTTTGCATATTGCAACAATGTTTATTTTAAATGCTAGTAACCAAAAATAGAGATGTATCCTATCAATACATAATACATGTTATTTAATAATATATGTTACTACATGTTTGCTTTTCAACCATATAAACTTCAGGATCTGGAATGAAATGGTTTTAACTTTTTTTCATTTTCTGACTCCTTGTGACTTAACAGCATTTCATCAAGACTGTCAGCAACCGTTTCTTCCAAGCCGATGTTTGTCATCTGACATGTAACCATAATCGTTAGAAAACTTTTAAAATATTAATTGTAATTTTATAGAAATTGTATTTGGCCACCTAAATGTTCTTTCATCCTCTTCCTTCAATTGCTTTTGATTTTTTTCACTTGGATTGTTGGCATATATAGAGGCAAGGGCTGCTATTACTAGGGCCAAAGTTGATGGGTTCACTTCTTGAGACTCCCTGAAGGCCGAGCGGTGTACTACTTAATCATCTAAAAGCTCATCAATTGTAGTTGGACTGAATTTTGCAATCCCATCAGAACTGAAGCCAAATTCATATAGGGAGTTGGAGCTTGATCTTTTGCTGAAGGAAGTCAGGGCCATGACTACCATTGCTTCAACATCTACTTTCATCTGTGCCTGCCGAAATGTTAGTTGTTCAAGAGGACTGTTTTTCAAACTTAGCAACTTTAAAATGTGTGGACTTCAACTCCAGAAATTTCCTGGCAGCATGCAAATTTTTCATACAAAAGCAAAATCTTATGATCAGATGCTTTCTGATCCAGGAACTAGAATTCTTGATTCAGTGTTGTATGGATATACTACTTCCAGATACGTCTTTTGGCTTGGGAACCATAGATGCTCTACGTCATCCTAAAGGCAAACTCCCTTGGTTCAAACTTTAATAATCCAGCCCCTTAGGCAATACTGGAAAACAGCAGATGTTCCATTTCAGACTGAATATCATGTTAGCCAGACTTTCCATTCAGAATGAAACCCAGGATGGGATCGAGCAACTGGTTTACCAATGGAAGACATGCCTCAATGAATTTGGACTTCAATTTAATTTGGCAAAAACTTAATACCTGAAATGCAGCATCCAGACAAATGGTACAATCACTTGATAATACTCAGCGTGTAAAGGCCTCTGATTTTCGTTACCTTGTATCCTGCATAAATGATGGCGACACGCTTCTGGATGCCTGGGCACAAACGAACGCTTCTGGATGAAGTGGTGCCAGGTCGCTAACGTCCTCTATATCTGGAAGATCCTGCTGTGCTTAAATCGAAGATCTACCATATAGTTGTCCATCCAGTGGCACTCTATGGGGTGGAATGGTAGCCAATGAAGATACATGAACAGGTACCACACACAATGGAAATACAAATGATCAGATAGTCATGGGGGAGGTGGTCACCGGCTGCATCATATTGCAAACAGAGACACATACGGAAGGCCTTCAAAGTCGTCCCAATTCCAGATATGAGAGAAATGAGACTGGTAGTATGGGGACAAGTGATTTGAGTTCATATGGAATCCATCGTGAGGTGGATCCTTGCACTCAGCCTAGATCAGTGGTGGTTAACCTTTTCGGCACCAAGTGCCAAAACAGGAGTGTGTGTGTGCCGAAAGGGCACTGAATGCCAAAACACAGGAAACAGGAAGAGCAGTTCCCCAGTGCACATGGTCTTCTGGTTTATAATACACATACACGTGCAAAGACCAGCTGGCCATCGCACACCGGAACCTGGAACAGCAACGGCTGGCGTGCCCAGAGAGATGGCTCTGCATACCACTTCCGGCATGTGTGCCATAGGTTTGCCATCACGGCCTAGATGGCCAGCACCCTCAAAACCAACCAATGAATGAATGGACTGTGTCTGCATGAAGAGAGGTGAGCTGTAAGCGTATGCCCCATTGATGCAGACTGGACAATTGGTGAAATTCAAAACTGAATCATGCGATATAATGGTAGTAATGCAAACAAGACTTTCCATTTTACACAGTTCAGATGCAGACTTCTATGTATAAAGGGTCATCCCTAAAAACTCAGCAGCTACTGTTTCTTTACTATGTACAGAGCTAACATAATCCTGACCAATTTTTATCTTGGGAGAGTATGTTATTTATTGAAGAAATGCTGTTACCACTCCTTTATTATGTTCATTCCACTTATAACACCAGATCAGAGAATAAATTTCAGTTAATAACAGATGGGGGGGGAGTCTATTGCAATACTATTTGTACCACCACAACTAATATAACTTCTCAGTGCAGTTCTCATTTCACATCACAGTGGAAGAATTTGGGGTGCCTCGTAAGTAAAGCACCACAGTTTTCAGAGTATTAGTGGCTGGCATGAAGTCAGTTGTCTAAATAACTTGGGAGTAAATTTAGTAACCATGTTTACATATTTGTTGGAGTCCTCGTAGATGTGTTGTACTTATCGACCACAAATTTCCTGCACTTTTTGTATGAGTTATGTATTCATTCCATTACAAAGCAGCAAAAGAAACTTTTGCAGAAGTTTATTGCAGCCTTAAGCAGATGGACTTCATATTAAATGTTTGTAAATGGCAGTTGCCAGTACCAGAATAATACAGTGTTTTACTTATAGCTTTTTCAGAGGACATTTCGGTGGTCTAATACCTCACTCCAAACTTACAATTGTTCAGTCTGAATACCATGGGCAGGTTTTTTTTTTTAATAAAGTTGTTTTTTTTGCTACTACCAAGTTACTGATGGGATGGCTTCTTCATCCCTTAGTGGTGGATCAAGCGGGGAGAATTGCTAAATCTTTGACAAAACAAAGAAAAGCAGGAGAAGGAAATTTAGAGTTTCAAAAATAAAAAATAAAAAAATTGAATTTTGTGAAATTCAAGCGACTAGTCTTGATTCAACATTAAGATTAGCTAAGAAAATACCCACATGTAATTTTAAAATAGTAAAAGTTTGCTCATAAACTTACGTAAGATTTAACCCATGGTGACAGTGGTTAGACTGCAGTATTGCAGGCTAATTCTGCTGACCTGATTCTCATTGGCCCAAGGCCGATAAAATGAGGCCCCAATTGTTGTTTGAGGTAATATGCCGACTCTGTAAACCACTTAGAGGACTGTAAAGCACAGTGAAGCGGTATACAAGTCTAGTGCTAGTGCTATTTTCTTGTTCATAGAAATTCAATTTCTTATGGCACATCTACCATAATCCAGAATGACCACTAGATGGCATTGAACAGCTAAGCACATTCTCTTTCTCTATTCACCCCATCTACTATCATCTAATAGCCACCTGAACTTTTATAGGTTGCACCCCAAATATTTAAGTCATGCTGTAGTTCACTGAAATTTAAGCCTTGCACTGTAGCATCCTTTTTTGGTATATATAGATCAGCTTTCCCTTACACATTGCATATGGTTTAGCTCTTGACAACACACTTAGATTTTATGCGGTTGGATCAAAATTTACTTACCAATAAATCTTTTTAATAACACTTAAATTGCCAGTTTTTAATTTAATGTAGTCCACATTTTGATTTTTTTTCATTTCTGTTTTTATTTCCCTGGTTGTCTTTCAAAACAGCAAGTGATGTAGATAGCAGAAAGGTACTAATAAATACTATTTATAACTCAAGTATGAAACGCTGTTTAGTGCATCATAGCATATTTTTAAAAAATACATATAATTTTAATTATTTCAACTATAATAATAAAAACTAATACAAATTAAACTTAGAGGGAAAATGAGGATGATAGAAACCAATAATAAAAAGTGCAGGAAATAAGAAATATATAATTATTTCCAACTTTTATCATAAATATAAACAAATGTAATATCTCTTCATCTGTAAGATGAAGCAGATTATATCTTCATTCCATTCCTTATTTCTAAACAAATCCATAAAATGCCAACTTTTCAATCCTGGTGCTGGTAAAAAAAAATCTACAGGGGGTTGCCAGTTAATTGCATTTTTAAAAAAAATCTTATTTGATCAAATTAAGCAACTTTATATTTTTTTTCCTTTTAATTCTACTAGTCTTTACCTTTCATTCAATCAATTATGGTTGTAGGATTTGATTTCAATTCTTTTTCCATGTCAGGATTTCTTCAAGGCATTAACAATCTTTTTTTATAGATTGAATTAATCATTCTTTTGGGTTATCATTTGTATTAACTTTTCCTTTTTAAAACTTCAGCCGGTTTCTTTTGTATTTCCAAATCATTCTCTTAACCTGTCATCTATAGATCCACATACCTATCATTCCTTCATTAACCTCTTTTCAACACTGCCTGTCCACAGAAACAGACATCATTACTGACACCATTGATATTGTAGTTTCTAACATCTGGCTCCATTCTTTAACAATCTTTAATATTTCCAATGTTTTTTATTTTTTTCTTTTTGCTTAAAATCTTTAGTTTCCTGCACTAACCAATTTCTAAAACTTGTTATCACATGAAATTTCCATGATAGTCAAGTTTATTTCCCCTAAGTTTTTTTATAATTAATTCCAAAATTTCATAGTAAAAATAAATACTCCAAGTTGACTGGTCTTTAATCCATTTATAACTTTCTTAGACTAAAATGTTACTTAGCCTTTTGCTGTTTCATTTCAAATTCTTTTGAATCCTTAAGTTTGTAATTAAGACTTGTAATTTGTTCAGAGTTGAGTATAAATTTGCCCAATGAAGACTTTTCAATCTTGTTGTTCCAAAAGTCTCTAATAGATTTAAGAAGGCTAATAGGTAATTTGCAAAAATAATTAGAAAGTAAGGTTTGTGAACTTAAGTGTCTTTTAAAAGGTTCCATCATAGTTCCGAGCAAGATGGCACTCAAATCTGCAAAGGCTGCTGTCTTGAAGTCTCATGAGAAGCAACATCCTGAAAACATGTGGGCAATTTCCCATCTTCTTATCTGGAGACTGGATAAGTAGAATCAGAACCATTCCTTGCTCTTTGCCATGGTAGTCTCTGTGTCTTCATTCATCATATGTCCCTGACTAGTATCACAGTATATGCTATGAAATCAATTGTGTTTCAGTTCAACCGAAATCAGTTGGAAGGGTGATAGTCAATGTTCATGGGACTCAACAGCCTTTCTTTACTTCAAAATATACAAACAGGTAGCTCCATCATGTGCACCACAGCAACTGCACACAAAACAGAAGCTTCATCCAATTCAAAATGTTGATTGTGGGAGTGAAAGCAATTAAAACTGTTTATTAAATTAAAATAGAAGGTGAAATGAATGGACTACAGAACTAGTTTTTAGAACAAAGGTGTATTAGATATAAGTTACAGCAATATTTTGTAAATACTGTAAATAGGAATGCTATCAACATATGCTATTAAATCAACATTTATTTATAGAAAAATTTAAAAACAAAGTTTATTGTGAAGAAATTGATTCAGCAGAACCCTTATTTTTCAATTGGGTTAATTTCTTCCATTCTTAAAAATCTATTTTCATATATCTGATTAGCTACCAACATAAAATGGAAGGGACCAAAATGCCATTGACTTTAGTGCAAATTCTAGAGTCTCTGTGTTATAGAGCACAGGGCCCCAACGTTAGCAACTTTAGGACTTGTGGACTTCAACTCTCAGAATTCTTCAGTCAGCTTTACTGGCTGAAGAATTCTGGGAGTTGAAGTCCAAAAGTCTTAAAGTTGCCACGGTTGGAGACCCCTGCTATAGAGAACTTTATACATTAGTTTCTAGGCCTAGCAAACGTCCCATTCTTTCCATGTTTTTGTCAATTGTGGCTTGACATGTGATCTCCTTGGCACATTCCATTGGAAACCAGCCTCTTTCTCCATCACGCAATCGCTCTCCTTCATACCAACCTGTGACGAAGTGCAAAAGGGATTAAACACATTAAAAGCCACCATAAGGATAAAGAAATCTGTCAGATCCAATGGAGCTCTACTGAGTTTAATATTGCGTTTAATATATGCAGCTGAGTTCTCAAAGACCATTAATCTAATAAAGCTTTGTGTATTACTTCACCCTCTGGTAATTAAGTGATACTCAATAATTTACTAAAATAGGATAGGGAGCTTGCACCGCTTGAGCCCCAAAACTCGCCACTGTGAATTTATAAGCTTTGCTGAACAAGCACATCCAGGACTGCATTAGCTCTACTTTACCTGCACCATTTTTTTTCCTTCAAGGGAAGGACAATAGAAAAGTAAATGTAGCATAATCACCAGGAGCTATAATGTTGTTTCTACCTCTCATCATCTGTGTAGTTAATATTTTCCTTTGGAGAGAAGAGATAAAACTCTCTCTTTTTTGTATCAGTTGATAAGGGAAACAGTGGCTTTGCATTCCCAAGCAGAGAGAAATGAATTATTTCAAAGGGTGAAGTTTAATGGCCAGGCTGATATCATTATATTAAATCCTAATCTACCGTGGACTCCTTTATCAAAGACTTAAACTTCTTGGTCTCTGGACATAATTTAATAAAGTCAAAATTCCCAAAGACTATATTTTGTCTCACATCAAACTGGTCAGAAACCATCAACTTGTACAGAATGAAACCAGATAAGCATTGATAAATGCCATACCAGTGTTTTTTAAATAGGACAATTACCTTCAAGACAATTCTTGAACAAGTACAAAATAATGTGGCATAAAAGGCAGCACTAGGCAACAGAATAGTGGTAAGTGCAGCAGTAATGGCCAGAGCAGGGCATTGGGGGCAGCTGGCAGTCATGGGTAGGCTGGTGGCCAAAAAGTAGTTGTAAACATGGTCAATATTTTTAACATTTTAATTATTTAATATAGTTGTTTGTGCTGTTGTAAGCCACCTAAAGGTACTTACCAGTGAGAGGGGCTGCATATAACTTTAATAAAATAGATAAATGTGGGTGAACCACAGGGACACTCATTTTGATTATGTGAACACAGAACTATTGCAATGGCCAGAACTTTGAGGATCCATTGTAAATCCCTTTGCTCAGCTCTATCGTAACTTGGAATTCTCACTGAACAAATAGACATTAAGCAAGGACTATCTGCATTATTTTGGTTACTTTCTAAAGGATAATCATAGTTGTGAAATACAGAAAAGTGTTATGTAATTAACTTTCTGAACAGCAATACGTATAATGTTACCAAAAGTACACATTCCAAATACTCTGGGTCCCAAAGGGATTGGAGGAAAAGGCCATTTGTTTTCTTTCATGTACTATCAATTAAAGTAAGTATTAATTTGAATTTGCAAAGCTTAATGTTCTTAAGATTAATCATTAAACCTTCAGTATACTTTGCATTCCTTTTTTGTGGTTACTTAGAAACATTCAATATATTTCTGTGGCTTTCAGTCAAGTGACTATTTTGAATATCCTACCAAACTTGGTTAAATAAAATTACAGGATCAGATACTTCCATGACATTTAGACTTTATAGAAAGTACTTCAGATGTTATTGAAAGCATAAGTAAAAGATACAAGTATGGTATTTATTAATACTCATATTGCTTACAAAAATGACTTTCAAAAATCTCTTCAGAAAGACGTTTTCAAATTAAATGTTTCTTTTCAAGCACATTTATATGTACTTTTATTCCATCTATGTTTTTCCACATACTGGGGAAAAAAATGCCCAAAGAAGGTACTTATGTTGAGATAATCCACATTTTACTTATGTAGACAAAAACAGAATGAAACATGAACCTCAATTATAATAGCGTAATATCTTAAACAAGTAAAACTGGTTCTTACATATTAAATCTCAATTAAGATATCCTAACTCTAAAAGAATAAATGATAGAGAGTAACATTATAATTTTCAATAGCACAGATGCCAGAATTTTTGCATTTAAAAGGGTTTTACAGCCACTAAACCACTGGAAAAGCCCTTTACTTACCATCTTGGACTTTTTGATCAACAAGAACTACATCAGCAGCCTGGAGGGATAATTCATCAGGTTGCTTGGCAGTGTATGACCTGATAACTTCTACCTGAGTCAATGCTGAGGGGAAAAAATAGTATTTATTGAATCATATGGTAGATTTCAAAAGCTCAGGAATTCACTTTAACGATGAAGCAATTATAAACATATTCCATATGACTTAGGGTTCTCTGCATGCAGTTTCCAAACTGTCTTCAAATGGAAAATTCTTGATTTTTTTCTGCAAATCGAGGAGAATCACAGAATACAGAAAGAAGCAAGATCAAAAACGTTCATGTAAATCACATCCAAAGCTACAGACTAGTAGGGAGCATCCTTGAAAGTTTCTTAAGTATTATTCAATCTCTCATGAGAAGTAAAAGGAAATTAGTTACTTATTATAAAATTTCTTTTCTTTAGCCAATTTCACATACGTTTTATTAATTAAAAGAGAAACCATTTTCACCTGAATTTTTACAGTTTGTAAAGATTACTTTTACAACTGGGTATTTCTGTTTAAGCTATAACACTCAGGAGAAGATACATGAAGTAATAGGCATATAGTTATAAACATGCTTTTAAGGGATCAGCCAAATTTAAGCTTAAAATCAGAACATAGTGTAAATGCAGAAAAGGCTACTTTCAACTGGCCAGAACTAATTCAGAGAGGGAGAGCGAAAACTCTTGGAAAATATTTAAATAACTTAAAGACAATGATGTATACAGTTTAAAAAAAATGCAACAGGCAAGCATCCATTCTTTGTCACCTTAAACCTTGCCAAATCACTGAGGAATACAAGCTAAGGTAAAAGTACATTTTTGGAGGTATATCAGATGTAAGCTTCTGTTAAATGGGACTGGAAAACCAGTATAGCTAGATTTTTCAGAGATATAAGTCAGGAAAAATCTGTCTAGGGCATTTCCAGAAAATGTGGGGCAGTATTGTTCTACCAAATGCTAATCAAACATTACACAGCTCATATCATTAAAAGTTCTTATCTGAGACCAAACAGAATAAACAAATTGGAATAATTTCTTAACAGAAGCAGTCTATGTCAATAAAAACAACAAAGGATAAAGACAGATTAGAGAAGAAATCAGTCGTCTTTAAAATGGATTGGCACAATATAGTTTGGTACAGTATTTTGAAAGGGTACTCTAAAATTAGATGGAGGCATAGACTATGTGGGGAGTGAGTTTTTTTCTAAGCAAAATGGAAATTTTTATACTTATAATAGTATATATATAAAATAAGTATTATAGTGATATGATATGATATATAATATAATATAATATAATATAATATAATATAATATAATATAATATAATATAATATAATATAATATAATATAATATAATA